AGGCTGCTGGGGGCTGCCCCTTCCAGCCCTCCACCCCCAAAGCCTGTTAGACCTGATGTTACCTACTTTGCACATTTATTTTCCAAGCATTTCTTAGCGGTGTCAGTTAGCGTTAAGGGCCGAGTTCTTAGCAGCCTCCCAGAGCTCTCATTTATCTTTATGCCAAAGTTGCTTCTGTAACTTTTATTATATTATCATGTAACAAATCCAGTTTATTATTTTGCTTATTTTCTAACTGAAAACAATTCTAGCAAAAAAAGCAGTCGTTCTACCTTGCCTTGCCTTGCCTTGCCGTGCCTTGCCCTGCTTTTCTCTCTCCCCCTTCCCCAGCAAACACTGCCCTAAACGTCACTGCTGCTCCTATACGACCCCAATGCAGACATCCAGTTCCCTTACATCAGGCAAATGCCTGAACCATAAATTTTCCCTGCTTGAACCTCAGCAAAACACAAGGAAAACCCCTCAGCGGTGTCCTGGGTGACAGCAGGGTCCTGGGGGAGCACCAGGTCCCGCTGTAGGACCGTGCTGCTTCTGGGAGTTGAACCGCTGCCCGGGCAGGGCGATGCCATCTGACAAGGAGCAGTATTTACTTCAGGCACGGAGATTTCGGGGGGTGCTGTCCCCCCAGGGTGACAGCTCGGGAGGGAGCAGCCCGGGAGAGCGGCAGGTGAATCCCTCCCCAGCCCTGGCTCTGGCTCCTGGCAGCCCGGCGGGTGCAGGACTGGCCCGCCCGCCCTTGGGGCTCTGCTCGCCGAATTCCCCTCCACAGTAGGTCACTCTGGCTCGCCTCAGTGCCCTCATATTTTGGGGTTACTGGCCGCATTTTCTGTGGTTGCTTGGTTTTCTGCGGATTGCGTTATAAATGATCTTGCCATACTTTCTGGTTTTGCAGCTTCATGCCTTTACAGCTCTCCTCTCTTGCTTGAATGACTTATGTATTTTTCCAGGATGCTCCATCCCAAAATAATACCTAAATTTTCATAGCGTCTCCCATCCAGCAACCCCAGACCCCCTCCGGTCCTGCACAGGGTCGACCCCTCCATCCGCTGGAGCCGCGAGCAGGAGGAGGAACTCGGCGTGATGCCGCAGAGCTGGGATCAGTGTGGTGGGGTGAAGTGGTGCCGAGGATGGGAAAATATGAGCGGGTGCTGGCGGCCGGGAAGGATGGGCACTGATTTTCCACTCCATTTCCAATGCTTTTTTAACGCAAGCAGAGAGAGGTGGCTTTTCAAGACGGAGGTGTCAGGGGTGCGGAGTCCGAGAAGGGTGCCCGGCTAGGTCAGCAGCTGGAGTTTGAGCTGCTGCCGCCAGCTCTGATCACGCTGAAGCAGAATAAAGATGCTTGTCAGGAGAGGGAGCCTGGAGCATCCCCCAGCTCAGCTTTTACCCAGGCCTGGGGCCAGGGCTGCCACTGGCACGCCACCGGTTGCTGGAGCCTCCCGATGCTCCTCCTGTCTGCTCTGTCCCGTTCCTGTTATCGGCCGCCTTCTCCACGAAAGGCATTTGTGCGATTTTGTGGTTGTGGCATGGGGTTGCCCGGAGCCCGTCCAGCAAAGGAGCCGTACGGCGGTGCAGGGAAACTGGGATGGAGGGAGGATTAAAGTGCAAACTCAGGCAGAACAAGCCAACACCCCAAGTGCTAATTCCCCCAGCTATTTGAAAGGGTTGGTTTCCAACAGCAGGATAATACCAAACATGACCAGAAGGAATGTGTCTTGGATGCAGGAATGTGTGGATGGTGCTTGGGGTTTCTGGGCCTCCCTCTTCCCGGGGATGCTCAGCGGTGCATCGCTCCGGCCTTACCAAACTGAGCAATCGTTGCCGTTAAGACATGCTGAACCCCAACACTTCGGGATCGGGGTGACCCAGAGCTGGGAGCAACTGGAAAGCAGAGCCCCACCGGGTTGCCCCGCTGCTGAGCAGGGTTTTGTAGGAGCTGGTGACTCTTTGGTGGAAGCTTCCCCAAAAAATCCCGCTCCAGTGGTGGAGCTGAGCAGCTGCAGCCCCCGGGGCCGTGCGTGGGGCTCAGCACCTTTGCAGGGTGAGCTCAGCATCAGTTCAGCACCACCTGCAGGGTGCGAGTGTCTGGTCCCAGCCAGCCCCGCTCCCTGCAGCAGGAAGAGCCGGGGGGGTTGCTGTGTGCCCAAGTCACCCCAGCTTGCTCCCCTCGCCCGGCCCCACTGCGTCACGACGGCCCCCCAGACCCGCACATACTTGCATGCACACGCATGCATGATTTCTTTTGCATGCTTGCTCTCCCCAAGCGCATGCTCACCCCTACTTTTGCTCCAAGACTTTTATTTCGCTGCTCATGTATGCTCCATCCTTCCCCTGGCCCCAAACAATGGGGAGGAGGAGACATTCCCCCATCCCCCGTCCCACGGGGAGCAGCATCAGGGCTGGGCAGCGTGGCTGCTCGCAGGGTGGTGCTGCCCGAAGCCGGGCCACATGCTGCTGCGAGGGCTCGTGGTGCTGCCACGTGGCACTGGGTTTCGGCTGCCTTGGATGCAATTAGCCTGATGGATTTGGGGTGCCCGTTGGGGTGGGGTTGAGCTGCCTCAGATGTTGCTTCCCACTGATTCACCTGCCCTCTCCTGCTGCACCCGGCCGTGGGCTCTCCAATGCAGAAGGATGACGGCTCTTTCCTTCCCGCTGTGCCGTTTTCTCGGCAGTCCTTGGAGCCTTCCTGCAGCCACCCACAGGACAGTCCACAGGCGGCTCAGGGCAGGACTCAGGGAATTAGACCTGTGGTGAGGCCACGAGTGTCCCGGGCAAAGCATCCCGTCCTCCAGGCCACCCCCTTGGCCCTTGCCGTGGCCACCCTGCCCTCTCCATTGCCTGTGACTTGGCACCCCCCCTCTACCCCCGGGGACAGCCACAAAGCACCTGGCGCTTATTGCTTCTCGTGATGGCTCCCAGCTGACTAACGGGGAGCTTGAGACCAAGAAGTTGGTGATGCAGAAGGCTTTTAGCACTCCCACCCATACCCAAAATGCGGAGGCAGCGCTGTCCTGTCATTTCCTCTCTTTTTGCCTGTATTTCACCTGTGCCTCCCCCCCATATAAGCTGGGCAGCCTTCCTTTCCCTCGGGCTTGCTGGCTTGGCCATCACCTCCATCGTATCAGCTTGTTCCTGGGTTTCCCTCTCTGTGACAGCGTGCCCCAGCTTTTTTGGGACCTGCCATTTGGCAGCTCGCTCATCACTGGCAGTCATTAAAAGAGAAGGGCCACGGGACATGGTGTGGCCCCCGGGCCACCTCTCTGCCCTCGGTCCGATTTCTGGGAAGCCCAGAGCTGAAGCTCTGCGGCTCAAGGCCGTCTCTGGTTTCTGATGGAAAGCCCGGTGGCTCTGCCGTGGAGCTGCGAGCGGCCCTCCCACCCTGCAAGCCCCATTTCCTCCCATCCTCCTCCAAAAATCATCCGAGGGAAACCTTTGGCTGACAGAGAGCTTTGGGTTTTCCATGCCAGGCTGGAAAATCTTGCCTGTTTCTGCCGGCGCTTACGCCCCACCTTTGGCTCTGCACCCAGGCGTGTTTGAACCACCGCTCCCCAGGCAGGAGAGGAGTGGGGACGTGAGTTAAACCAGGGTTTGGCCAGGGTGGGGGGTCTATAGCTTTGTGCCCAAACTACCAGCGGTTGTGCTAAGCATGGGGGTCCTGGTGGGAAAGCCCAGCGGCAGGGGAGTCCTGCTCGGGGCAGAGCGGTGGGATGCCGCCGGGATGAGTGCTCCTACGCCCGAGGCGTGTGGCTGCTACGTTGCACCGTGCATGGGCTCCCACTGCAGAATCGGGTGCCTGGGAACCCCGCGGGGACGGGACGAAGGGAGGAGATTGTGGGGGTACTCCATCCTGCGTGGAGACCCCAAAGGGCAAATCATAGTCCTGAGCAAGAGCGTTTTCCAACTTTCCCTCTCCAAGGCGTGCTTTCCATGGTGTTTTGGGGGGTGAGGAGCCCCCCTTCCCCGTGACGGACAGACTGGGGGGGGTCCCCAAGCCCTTGCTGAGGGATTCAGAGAGAAATCCCTGCCTGTCTCGGCTCCCGGTCCCCTCCACTTGCCCTTCCTGAGGCTGGCAGCAGGCGCAGGTCGGGGTGGGGGGACTGGGGGGACCGGCGGTCCGCCGGGCAGAAAGGTCATAAAAGGAAATGAGGAGCTATTCAGCT